TAAGGAATCAACATGGAGTCGAGACCATGCTTTGGTTGAGAATGGCCACATGAATTGTGATTTTAAGTGGATTTTCTTTATTTTACTTTGTTTTTCAATATCTGATTCTAAATTTGGCCACCAAAAATCTGCTTTAGCCTATCTTAGTCATACCGATATGCAGTATACGTAACTGATTTTGTAATAAGCTGTTTTGGAGTGCCTTTGGTATATCCATTCTAATTCCCTTCTTGATATGTCTCTTATCCAGTAATAATTTCAGTTTTTTTGTTATTTTTTGAGATCTGATTACATGTTATTTTCATTTGGCCATCTGTTTTATCACATTGTTGGATACCTTATCTCAGATTGACTCTGGCAGGTTGTTTGTAATAAAATATAACCATCCCTTTGTCCATGTAATTGAGAACTGTAAATTCAGAAATTGCCTGCCATGCCACAACAGGATATGGTTTTTGTTCACATTACTGCTCCCTTCTGCCTTTGCTTGTTTCTAGTGCACCCTTCAGTTAGTAATAATGTTTTATATAATGTTTAGAAATACGTTTGTCAAGGAACTCTTATTCTTTTCTCCTTGTCTTCTACTTCATTATTGTTATTCATTTCATAATAGGAGTTAGTTTGATTACAATGTGGAACTTTGATATGTTCTAAAATTTATAAATAATATAACCTCCTCTGGTTCAACTGGCATTTTGATTATTATTTTTATTTTATTTATTTATTTTTATATCATTACTTTAAATACTTTAGAAATGTGACAGTTTAAAAATAAACTGCTTCTTGTTACATCTTTATAGTTACCCATACATACATATATATTTATATATAGTTATTTAATTGCTAATAATAATATATATTTTTTATTTAAAATAAAATGTAGTTCATCTTTAAATTCTAGAGTAAAAGAAAATGAGTAATTTTTATTTTAGTTATACTGGTATTTGTTATTGGATTTTTTAATTATCAATCACTTAAATTTTAGAAGCAGGTTTTTGTTCTCTAAAAATAAATTCTTATTTTTAATGAATCCCATTTTATTAAGAAATTTCAAATACTTGCATACTAAATAATAAAACCATTCCTCAACATCTATTGAAAGAAACAATGTCTGAGAATAAGCTGGAGCTATTGGATATGGAGCTATAAGGTAGGTGATTTATTGAGTTCTTTGGCTGTCTTCACAATTCTTAAAAACATTATTTTCAGTTTGAAATGGTTTCTTTTTTAAATTAGCTTGTGGTTAAATAGATTTGTTATTTGGCGCTTTAGTTAGTTTGGTTAGTTAGTATATTTTATTAATTAGGGTTGTGTATTTTAATTTGTTTGCTGAAGTAGCACAGAATTTCTGATTTATTAATTTTCAGTAGAGAAAGTTTACACTGTTCATTTTGTTTGGAACCAAGTATTATCACTAGAGACCGGATTTACATGCAGTAAAAATTCGGAAAACGTGCAGTAAAAAATTCAAAATGTGCAAAATCGTGCAGTAAAAATCCATAACATGTTAAATTGTAATTAATACCTAAAAACTTGTAAAATCATCAATATTATTTAATTTATAACATTAATAACGATTTTTGCTTCACACAGAATTATTTGTCTTCCTCATATTTTTCTATTTTGAATAATGGATTTAATTTGAATAATATAGTAAAATGAAAAGTAATAATAAGAAAATAATAAAATAAATATTACCCTCACTTATACATTTGTATTTATAAACCGTATAATTTAGCACAAAAATGTGCAATACAATGGAGCAAAAATTAAAATCATGCAATTTAAGCCAAAAACGGCAAAACGTGCAATATGAAATTTAAATATCTTATTCTACAGGTCTTGAAACGGATAGATATTCGGTTCCGGAGTTATTACACTCAAGAGAATAAAAAGTGCAATAACATGGAAATCTGGTCTCTAATTATTACACTCTTAACATTTTTAGACTCAAATATAATTCATTGAATGCTTGTTCAAAGGGTGTGAAGAATGAATGTTTCATGTTTGATTAAGTTTATCACCCATAATTTTTTTTGTGTCTGTTTGCTATTGGTGGACATATTCAATCTCAAGCTCCCTGTTCTTTATCAAATTATTTTTGTCTTGACTGGAATAATATCAATCATATTTTGTCCTCTTGTCTTCATGATGTTCCTCCCTTCCTTTCCTATTAGGCCCTATTGGGAGGGTTAATTCTTTCATGTCTTTGAAATTCATTTTAAATATGTTTTGTTGTATTTTAGCCAGTATTAAAATTTCAGAAACCATTAAATTTATTTTCCAGTTCATGTAAGGGAATATGGATGCTCACTTAATATAATTCTATTTTTTTTATTCATTTCTTTCATATATCCTTCAAGCATAGCATCAAAAGAATAAGTCAAAGAAAGTATTAAAGAAATAGATCAAAAACACTCCTCTGTTAGGATTATATTTTAAAGCTGTTATTGCCAATCCTTATTTCACAACTTTTCATTAGATCATACCCAGCTATATGGTGAACACGGGCTGGGCTGGCCAAGCATGTAGGGACATGGACCCCAGGGTGCCCGGTTCACATTTTGGGTTCAATTCCCATCTGGGTGGGTTAATTTTCATTTCTATGTGGCCTAGGGAAACAAATATTTTATCTCTGGTAAGTATGTGGTCCCAACCTCAAGTTAGCCATCAGAGGTTGGCAAAAAGGACCATGTGGCCCACTTTTCATTCTACTTCCCCCCACCAGTACCAGTAGCTATATGGTCAATTTTTCATACTCCTATGACAAGCGATGGGAAGAAAAGGAATTTATATTAATTGAACCAATAAACTGTAATTGAACCCTTACCTTTTTGCTTTATTTTAATGTTGTTTTTTTTTTTATCTTTGAGTCTTGATTATTTAATAAATATCCAAAGGAACAAAGATACTACTAAATCCCAAATGACAGTCTAATGACATATAGAACAAAAACCCCAATACTGCTATTATATTATGTAAATCTTTTTATTTATTTTATTCTTATCTTATATTGTTTCATAAAAAATCAGAATTTAATAATGAGAACAGATAATGATTTGATAAATCTGTCATCAAAGCCAAGCACCTATCTCAATTTTTAATGAAATTAAGATAAGTACACCCTAATAATATTATTAATTTAACTATAATATAAATAATATTATAAATTTTCAGCTGAAACTGAAGATATTACTAGAGTAAAGAAATTTAAATTAATTAACGAATAAAAAATACTAATTGACATTTTTTTATCTCATATAAATTTTACGAAATTGAGATATGTATGTTTTCTACTGTGAAAATACGTAGTTTTTATTATTATTTTATTAGCTATAGCTTATTTATTTATTTCATAAAACTTCATTTACTAGAAATTGTATGTGGCATGTCAGGCTTTTCATATGTGAATGAATATAATTCTTTTTTTGTGATTTGTGTTGAGGTAAGAAATATTTATAAAAATCTGAAATGAAGAAATATGTAATGTGTAAGAATTAGATGATGACTTATTTAAAATATTTGAGGTAAGACATAATGTGGGATATTTTGATAGTTAAATAGTTTAATAAACATACAATTTAATAGTAGAACTCAGGCTTTTAATATTTGATGGTAGATTAGATTTTAGATTTGAAGATGTAATTAATGAAATGAGCTTAGCTTGAAAAATATCTAGAGAACCTACTTGCTTTGCCAATTGTACTGTCTACTAAGATTTTTTTAGATAGATAATCTCTTACTTTTCATAACTATTTAATTGATTAAGACTAATTTCTGAATCATTTAAAGTTAAAATGATTCATGTGATTAAGTAAGAATGATCTTTCTTGTTTTACGTATAAAATAAGAGTTGTTGACTGTAATAATATATTTTGAACTGTTTTTAGGTTTATTCAGCAGTTTTGAAGGTTGGAAAAATAAATATTATGTCTGATCAATTCCAATTAATTTACTGGCCAAGCTGAAAGATAGATTGATATAGAAGAATAGAAAATATTATACTTTTTAATTAATATAGATTAATTGATTGGATTCTTAAAATAAGTGATATACATACATAGAACTCATTTTTTCTCTTGACAGTTATTATTTTACTATTATTTATTTCTACATCTCTGGCTGAGAATCATCGATGGATTATCGTTATCGGTTTGGTTATGTTTTTGGAAATATGCACATTCATTTTGTCGGATATCAGAAAGTGATAAACCCAAGAAGCATGCAAGGAGTAGGTCTATTTTCTTCTTCAACTGGTCTTTTATACAATCCTTATTTATTGTGATGTAATTATGAAAACTACTTGTTTATTATACTTCTCATAGATTGCAAGAAGCTGCTGCCGAACAAGTTCATTTATGTGTTTGTTTCAAATGCAAATTGGTTATTTACTCAGAAACTTATTTTCTTTATTTTACTAAGGTGTTCTTAGTTAGAATTTATTTGTAACTTTTGTGTTTTAATTTGAGATGCATTGATGTTGCAGAATATGGGAAGGCAGAATATGGTATGCATACACTTATAAAAAGTATATTTCAGAGTTAACTTATATAGTTATAAAAATTAGATTAAACATTATTATAGAAAAGAAAAATGTTTCATACCTTGAGAGAACAAGACTTCAGTACTAAAAAGAAATGTTTCTGAAAGAATTATTTATGAAAAATAAAAATCATGACATTATTATTCAGTGATTCCAATCATGACGAATGATAAATGTTAAGAAAACCCAATGTAATAGGAAAATATCATTAAAAAAAAAAAGTATAATGAGGAAATGATTGCAGATATAATAAGCCTTAAGATAAGGCTATTTCATAATAAAGTGTGGTATAACTGAAAAGATACATCAAAATCCTCCACTTTTTGAAAAAATAATGAATTTAAGGTTGCAAAGGTTTATGCTAATATAGAAAAAAAATGCATTTATTAAGTATAAACCAAACCACAACTACTATTTAACGTTCCATCTCCCAACTCTACGATCACTATAAACATTGATGTCATATGGAATTTTGCCTTGTACACAAGATCATCATTCTCTGCACCAGCTGGTACCTGTTTTAAATTATAAGAATCTACATAATAAAGCTGTTGCCTTTACAAGGTATATTTCATAAAATTATTATTTTATGTATTATAAGTATTAGCTTGTACATTTCCTATTGTTTTGGGTATGTAACATTGTCAATAAACTAGAATTGATTCTAAAAAATTGAATTTTTCTCCCTTTATATTTAACATATCTTATATGGTTTCATGTGATTGAAATATTCAATGTATATAATTCATTAGATATGTTTTACCTCACTATATGAATGTAATGTTGGATTCCAAATGAAAATTAATTTTCTGTTTTATTGTTCAAATAATGGTATTGATAGATTTTTTTTCTCTGTTGCAGGATATTTCATTAACAGTCGAAGTGATGGACTCCATGTTAATAGTTAATTTGAAGATAAGTAAAGGATCAAGGCTTTAAAAAACAAAAAAATCTATTTTATTTATTTATTATTTATAAACAAAGAAATATATTTTATTTCTTATCTTATAATAAAAGTTCCTTTAAATATCTAGTAAAATTAAAATTTGATTTATTATAGTATATATTATTTCTTTATTTTATAATTTTTCTGTTCCAGTAATCATACATTGAGAAATTATTGTTACAGGAAACAATTCAATTGACTCTCAGGACATTAAAAAAAAAGTAGATTTTGTTTACCGTAGTTTAAAAAAAAATCTGTATGGCCACAAGTGTTAACTGCTGTTTTCAGATTAATCGGTATTCTCATTATTATTACTAATAATAGTTTTTTGTCTTTATTGTCACTAGATATTTGTATTATTGATACTTATTTGTTTGGTGGAAACCTGAGAAGATTGAGACAGTGGTCTTTAAAGAAGTCCTCTTTCTTGGAAAATGATATTTCTCTTATCCTACAAGAATCAGCCTTAGAATAATATTTCTTTCCTATTTCACTTATAGTCATGGATCTCCCTAAGATAAATGGTCATTAGCGGGAGATAAACTACTTTCTCATTGGATTCTCTGAATGGATGTGTGATTTTTAATGTTTTGTGGCTAGATTTCAATATAAATTAATATAGATTAATGACCGAAGACAGTGATGATTAAATGAAATGCGAATTTCATGATAAACTGGAGTGGGTTACAACCTACAACAACAACCTACTGGGAAACTAAAAATAATGTAGAAGACCTAAATGCAAAATTGGAAAAGATAGAAGCATATTAACCGACAATCAGTAAAGAAAGTTTGCCTGAACTCAATAATGATAATGGGATTGGATTAATAAACTTTGACTATCTCGAAAAACCTTTCAATCAAATAATAGTTTAAAAAAATCTGAATTACTACGTTTAAACATAACGATAGTTATAAGCATAGGTAAACATCACCGGTTTCTCAAATCCGAAAATCAAATTGCCATGTCTTGGTAAAACAGTGTTTCTAACGTGAGATCTTATACCTGATAAGAGTGGGATCAGTAGCAGATTCAGGACTTATTCCCACAAGTTCGCTTATGCCCAGTAGATCACTTTTGGGGTTTTCTCTTATATCAGGAACACTGTCCATCCATTATTATTATAGTGCTCTAACTCTCTATATACCTAAATACCTATGTATATATATGCATATACATACATACAATAACGTTTATTATGAAAATTATTTTTTTCTGCAAATTCTCGAAATCGACATATGAAGTGTATCTTTGTAACCGTTAAAGATGAACTAGTAAAATAATATATATTGAAAAAAATTTAATTATTAAAAACTTTCTCCCACATGAATTAATCGTAGAACGGAACAATCAGGAGTTAGCTAGTCAAATACAGTAGTAAAAACCATAAGGTAAATTTCCCCCTCCCCACTTTAGCGATAGTTGAGGACGGATACCACGAAAACTATGAGGGATAGCGAAAAAAGGTATATAATCAATCATATTGCAAATGTTATCAGCTTGAATTTTGTATAGAACGTCTTTGTCGATGCGATGCATAATTTTCCTGATAAAAGCGAAAACCCAGAAAAAGTGACCTAGGCGTCCTCCTCCAAATCTAGTTCACCTCCTAGGAATGTGTACTTCGAGTATGTTTACCTCCTACTTACAAGTCCGGAAGTCCAAAATTGTGTCCCCGCCATTGAGTGTTAAAAATAGTTATTAGGCGTATTTTTGAGAGCGAATAATGTGACGTATAATTTATGACTTCAATTAATAACGCTGTTTTTAAGACAAATGCTTTTTGTCAGTAGTTTGTACTTAGTCTAGCAGCTCTTTTTAAAAATACTTAAAACCGATTAAAGATGACAACATTTCGGTAATCGAAGTAGCAAATGGAGTTAATTTGGTGTTACTCAAGATTTAACCATTTCCTTGTTAATATATTGTTTTAATAACGATGCCTTATTAAAAAGATGATTTTTGGGTGGTCGAATTTTAACAGCTGATCAACAACGCGAGCTTTGCTAAGCGGTTCTCGATAATCAGTTCTTTACAATTAATGATTGGTTATTATTAAAGTTTGGTATTATAAAATAAAAATAAAACAAATATCCTGAGAAAAAAAGCTGCATGGCCGTCGTAAACCATATATTCTCTTCCCAGGTTCACTCACTCGCAGGAAAAAATGGTGAGGAGGAACCAAGCTCTGACGTAAACACTATACCACTATTACCCCGCCGTCCCTTGTTTTTGGCAGAGATGGGCAAATGCTACTCTTTAGTACCGAGTACGAAGTATTTTAATCGAATTAAATCACAATTGGCAATTCAATCACTACTTCAGTTAATCGTTTTAAATTAACTGAAGTAGTGATTAAGTTCTTTGGTACTCAATAAAGGTTAGTATTTGAGCAAAATACTTGGTATTCAGTACTCAGAGTAGCATTTGCTCACCTTTGGTTTCTGGAAGATTTAGCTTTCTACATAAGTACCAAGTGTCATGGCCGCAACTACAATTTTATGCTTGCATCGCTCTGTCTTTGTTTTCTTTCATCAGGTTAATTCTGCAATCAATGCTGCATTACAGTGAGCTCTTGTACATTTGAACATTTTCAACTTAAAATATTGAGGTGGGAGACATCTATTAAAAATTATGTTGACTATTTAATAGATATACGTGAGGTAGATACAGCTCACCTGGCCGATAATTCCCATTGCGGGTCTTACTTTATTTAGATAGATTCACGGACAAGGTCTGGTTATTAATTTTAAGACCTTAAAAAAAAAAAAAATCTCCTACTAACACACCTTCCTTCTAGTGATATCGAGTCCGTATCTAAGAAATAAGATTTTTTTTTTTATTTTGAGACTTTTAGTTTTATTTATTTATGTACATTGAGAAATGTTTTATTTTATCTGTAAATATGTTTGTAAATAGCTTAGTTTTAAGAATTAATTTCTTTTATTTCCATTTTTATTTCATTATAACATTTATAGACTTAATTATTTTCTTATCATGGAACATGATTATACGTCTGGTGATGAATTGGAGGAAGAAACCCCATTTTCTGAAATAAGCGAGTCAGATTCGCAATATTTATAAAGAGGTAACTCACTTACATATCGAAAAGAGATATCTGAAAATAGCAAATCTACACAAACCACTGCAGCCAACAAATTAGAAACCATCCAACTCAGTCAGTAATTCTGTTACTACCAATATTGCATCAAATAAAACTCAGGAAAAAACATTTTCGGATCCATAACCGCCACCTATTTTTGTCTCAAAAATTGAGAATTTTATGTCCTTCAGGCAAGAAATTGCGGACTTGAATGTTTTTCAAGAGTTAACGATATAAAAATTAACTCCAACTCTAAAGAAAACTATAAAAAAACTCATCGGGCATTTTACATTAAAAAAAAAGTACCACTTAAACTTCTATCAACTCAGAAAGGAAAAATCATATAGAGTAATCTTGAGAGGTCTGCATTCGACTACCACCACAAACACTATTAAAATTGGATTGGAAGAAATAGGGCACAGCGTCAGAAACATTTCACCCGTATTACATCCTAGAGAAAAGTATCCATTACCACTATTTTTCCTGGACCTGGAATCAGCAAAAAACAATTCCGAAATATTTCAGGTAACGCGATTAGTATATTCATCAGATGGTTTTGAGGAACCTAAACAGAAGCCCATAATAGTGCAGTGCACAAATTGGGGAATACCTGGGAAATACCAAAGCCTATTGCTATCACGAGGCCAGATGTGTGAAATGTGCAGGTTCACACGCATCAGACACTTGTCAGAAACCAAGGCACGAGGTCATATGTGTGATCTTTGTGGTGAAGTCCACCCTACCAGCAATAGAGGCTGTATGGTTTATAAAAGTTCCCACAAGCAAAGATCTCATAATATATTTGGCATTAAGAAGCCAGAACCATCTGGAATTGAAAATCTAGAAATTTTCCCAATACTGCCGACAACACCTCAAATCACCCAACAACGGCCATCAGCTACTTTATCAATGGCCCTTCCTCAACAAGAATCCACCAAGCAACACTCGCGAACTACTATCATCAAGCAGCAGCCTCGACGTCAGGCGTTTCAGACCTCTAAATCTAAACCTAAAACCATTAATTCTCAGCATTAACCTCCATGCCAACAAATCCCCCTTCATTATCTCCCCCTAAGGGTCAAACTTCCGCTTTCATCCAAGAGCATCCACATCCAGCACCATCTCCCTAGATGAACCTCCCATCATATGTACATCAGAAATTTCACCCAACTCCTCGTACCCCCTACCAATAACCCTAATCGCACAAATTGCCCACCACAACCTCCTGACCCAAATCCACTTCACAGCCAAACATCATCCGACATCAATTCTATCCTATCAACATTCCTGATAGACCTTCAACAGACTATCAAATCACTCATAACACTAATCACTAGGTTCCTTTCCGAAATCCCTTTTAACTATCCTCGATCAACACAAAGCCCCTAGCTATCCTCTTATGGAACGCTAATGGACTACAAAACCACCGTGACGGACTAGACATATTTCTTCATGACAATTACATTGACATTGACCTCCTGACAGAAACTCATTTCAAACAACGATCAAACTTTTACATATCTGATTACATCACTTACAGATCAGACCACCTATATAACACTTCCCACGCCGGCTCTTGCATCATTATCCAATAACTCACGACAAATTTACTGGTCATTACATATTCGAATCTTATTAAGGGAAAAACGCTGGGCAAGATCGATATGGCATAGGACTAGTCTAGTCCGACTAGATATCCTTTAGATAAAACTTACTATACCGAATTGACTAACAAACTAAAAATAGAAATTAGAAAAATAAAAAATTACTTAACCTAACTGAAAATCTTACAACTACTGATAAATTCTCGGTCCCATCTTCTACACAATTTATACAGCTGACACCCCAACCCATTCTGAGCTATCTGTTAATAATGACCCTTTAATTGTATTTCAATCTCTTAAATCACATATCCCAAGCCTTGAAGAATGGTGTAAAAATTGGAGAAAAAAAATAAACGCCAATGAATACCATCAAATCACTTTTATCCTCCTTCGTAAACCTATGACTTCTTGTCCT